TCAAGGCATTAAGATTTGTCCCCCTGGGGACATTTCCACAACCTTTTCCTTCAGTATTTATGGCCCACAACTTTTTTGCATCATCTGCACCATAAATATTAAAATATCCACGCCGGCTCTTGATGTCTACCCTCAAACAATGGGCTGGTGGAGCAGCATGTTACAAATACTAGCATGCTGCTTAGTGTCACTTCACAAAGAAGAGACTGAGCTCTTCCTGTCATCTGGACAAAGGGAATTCAAGGCTATCAGCATTCCCTTCCACTGTACAGTAGTCCAGGCAAGGACTTTAGTCAGCTGTGTTAACGACATTAGCAACATTGTACAAGCAACTAGAACCACAGAACATGTGATTTTGAGTTTTATTGGTTGTATGCATGGGTCCAGGAAGGAATTTTTTCCCCTCTTGCTGCTAGAGGTGTTGCAGGGGTGGGGGGCATTGGTCTTCCTTTGAAGCAGTGAGTATTGGCTGCAGGAGAGCTGGGGATTTTGATTGGGGTGTACCGGTGCTGATTCAACCCCAGAGATTCTTGGCTAGAGGGTCTTGCTACTCTGTTCTGCTAAAACCCATTGCCACATATAAGATTACAAAAAAACTTTGCCCCACGGTCAGATTAGCATGGACCATAGGTAAGGGCTGCCTTCCTCTGGGGAGGGTGGGGAGGGAAGGATGAACATGCAGGGATTAGTGAAGGAATTGGTTAGATACTATCAAAGATTCACAGTAATGCTTTCTGCCAGTGTTTTTTATGGAATATGCTCTCTTTGTCTCAATGTGCTTCAAGGTTTACTTAACATCCAGGGCCCTATTAGATGAAGAAAACAAAGAGACTCAGTGATTTTTCTCTTGACTACGCTTTTCTGTTTCACACATTCTTGGCAGCTTGAGATCATGGTAGGGAATCTCAGTGGGGCCTCTGGCATTTCAAATGTTTCAAATGATAGGTTCTGTTTCTGGCCTATGATTTTGATTAGGTCATATTTAGAGAGCACAAAGCAGATTATCACATTTTACGCTCTTCTGATGAATGGAAATAAAGTTGCTAGTGGTCAAAGGAGAATAACGAGACTAAATGGAGATGTGCTGATGAGACAGTGTGTGTCTAGGTTATGGTTAGGTTAGGACTGGGGATTTGGTAGGAGGCTGAATCAGAACTAGACTTTTGACGGTTTACACAATTTCAGTGTTGGAAGTTTCCATTGCACAATTTCCATCATCTGGGTCCTAGTAAGACTTTGGCTGTATTCCACTCAGAACCAGAAAGTTAGCTGTTTTTAGGTCTAAATCTGATATGGTACTAAAATTACAAAAGATGATTGCAATCAGGGAATTTTAATACAACCCCCTGCCTAGGCAGGAATGAGTGCTGGGGTCAGATGACCCCGGCCAGATGCCTATCCAGCCTTCTCTTAAAGACCCACAATGTAAGGTAGAGCACCACTTCCCCTGGAAGCCCATTCCAAATTTTGGCCACCCTTACCATGAAGAAGCTTTTCCTGATAGCTAGCCTAAATCTGCTCTCTGTCAGTTTGTGGCCATTGTTCCTTGTTACCCCAAGAGGCACCCTGGTGAATAGAGCATCCCTTGCTGCGCCCCCCTAATGAATTTGTAGGCGGCCACAACATCACCTCTCAGCCTTTTCCTGCAGAGGCTGAAAAGGTCCAGATCCTTTAGTCCCTCCTCATAGGGCTTGTCCTGTAAGTCCCTAAGAGGGTGGCCTTCTTCTGGACCCTCTTGAGTCTATTAACATCCTTCTTGAAGTACAGCACCCAAAACTGGACGTACTACTCCAACTGCAGTCTGACCAATGCCACATAGAGGGGAAGTATCACTTCCTTGGATCTAGTTGTCCTGCATCTGCTGATGCATGATAAAGTGCAGTTAGCTTTGCTGATGGTTTCGTCACACTGACAACTCACGTTCATCTTGGAGACAACTGTGACTCCAAGATCCTTTTCCGCTTCTGTGCTGCTGAGAGGGTCACTTCCCAGCCAGTAGGTGTGCTGGATATTTTTGTGCCCTAGGTGCAGCACTCTGCAGCTGTCCTTGTTGTACTGCATCCTGTTGTGTACTGCCCACTTTTCTAACCTGTCCAGGTCTGCCTGCAATCATTCCCTACCCTCCGGAGTGTGCACTTCACCCCACAATTTAGTATTGTCTGCAGACTTGGACAGAGTATACTTCACACCCACATCCAAGTCACTGATGAAGATATTGAAGAGTATCAGTTCAAGGACTGAACCCTGCAGGACCCCACTACTCACATCCTTCCAGGTCAATAGGGACCCATCTACTACCAACCTGGAAGGATGTGGTATCTCATATTAGAGGTACTAAACTTAATGCACTGTAGCAAAGGTGCATTAATGAACATGTACTGTAGGAGCAGTCCAAATGGATTTACCTAACAAAGGACTTCAGTGCCCTTGTTCCTGCTAGGGAGTAACTTACTTGTTACTGATAAAATAAAGTATGTACATGGTAGAGTAAGGATGGCCCAATTTGGCCCCTTTTTAGCATTAAAGAAGGAGTGTCAAATTAGTTGGGTCCCATGGGGCTTTTCATGAGCTGAACCCAGAGCATGGGGCTTCTCATGGGTCAGATGAAGCAAGAGGGGCAGTGGTGGCATTAATCTCACAGCTGCTCAGGCCATTATTTTGGTGTGGCTCCAGAACCCGGGGAGTTAATGCCTCTGCTGCTTGCCCTCCTTTTTCCCTGTTGCTGATCTTAGTCACCAGGGACAACAAGAAGCCCAATTTTGGTGGTGAGTAAAGGCCGGGGAGGGAGTGGAAGGTGAGCAGTATTAACTCCTTTGGTCATGGATAGCAGGGGCTCCAGAAGCCACAGCAATGAGCCAGCAGACTGAATCCAGCCCACAGAGGTGGGTGGTCCAGCCTTCAAGAAGCCCCACAGGCTGGATGACCCACCTCAGTGGGCTGGATATGGCCCCCAGGCTGGATGTTTGACACCCCTGTATTACAGTATTCTGCTGGATGCTCCAGGAAGTCAATGGTCTGTGTTTTTCAGAGTGCATTGTAAATCTGACTTACTCCCAGAGTCAGCACAGGTTAAACAAACTTCTAGTGCCACTGAGAACAATTCTTGAGAGTTACTCCAGTTTCAAACAGCAGCAACAACCTAACTTCTCTGTTTAGCTTACCGTTTTTCTTTCTGCAGCTTTTTAAGGTATGGGGAGTGATTGGAAAGCTGCTCCTGGTTGACCCACGTCCAGTGAACAGTCTGTTGGACAGGGACTTACTCATGACTTTCTGTGTGACTTTGGGCCAGTTACTTCCATGCTCTGTGCCTCTGTTTCCCTTCCAGCCTTTTGGATACTTATATTTCAAGTGCTTGGAGGCATGGGCCACTTCTTATTGTGTATATCTTTAATACCTACAGTACAAAGAACTGATCCCAGCTGGAGCTGATAGGCTGTATCAGGTTACAAATGATAGTAGCAGCATCAAGGAACTAGAACACCTGGAGGAGATGCAAGCAGACACTGCATTAGATCCACTTGGAAATTATATCAGGCTAGAACATGTGTTTGGGGGTTTGGCCCAAATGAATGCGATTCCAACCATGTCTGCATGTGTGTAGACAGGAACAGATCACCTGTTATTTCATATCAGCTGGTCATAAGCAAACGCTGCCAGGGCCAAGGGCTAAAGGCTTGGCTACTCATGGCCTGGTGACATTACCCTTCACTGACACTGTTTCCTTTCCTTACTGTTCTCCTACCCTTGCACCCTTCGGTACAGATCTCTGGTGCCTCTCAATGGCATTTCATAAGATGGGGGCCTGACAGAAAAAGTATTATTGAACAAGTATTCATGTGTTGGATATCTGCCTTGACTCAACCTATCTTCCTGCCTGAACCAAACTCTCACTCTGTTTATCCCGTCAAACCTATTTACAGCAAAGCTGCCCTGTGGAAGTTTCAGCATTCAAATAACTTACCAGTGTTGCCTGGCCCAAGTGCAGCATTGCTAGGACAAGACAGTGTCATGCCTTTGCATGTGACATTACCATATGGCCACATGGTGACAGCATGTTTGCATGACACTGTGCAGTGTCATGGTCACACAGGGGATTGGTGTCACATTGCAATACCGCTGCATCATGACATGGTCTGAATGGTTAATGTGGCTGGGCCTAGGATTGCCCTTTCAAAATGTGGATGACTCCACTGAAATCAGAGTAGGGAGCAGCCTCTGATATATCAGAATTAATTCAGTATCACAGAAGTGCATGGAATTGCTTCAGTGCAGCAAACACGGCCCATGTTGCCAAACTGCTGGCCTTGCTAGAACTACAGCTCCATCGCATTAGTAGCAACGGAATACAAGATGATGATCAGACAGAGTAAAATCATCATGTCACAGCAGTAGGGCCCATTAGAAATGAAATGTTCCTACTGGGATATTTTATTTACACACTTCAGTAGAGTGGACACCAAAAGGTTTTGCTAATGCTTCATGGGCTGCTAATTTCCTCTCTGACCTCTTTTGTTAGGGAGTGACCCCAGCTAGAATCTCTGTGCAATGAATGCCAAAGCTTGACACAGGCCTGGGTTAGGGGTGACAATGAGGCCTCTATGGGCTTTAATCAGGCTCCAGTTTGGAGTTTCAGAACAGGGAGAATTTGTGTGGCTCTCAAAAGATCTGGGTGGCACAATAAGGGAGGCCCTGGGGTCTCCCAGGAAGGCAGAGGCAGCCCAGAGAAGACAGGCTAAAGGATTCGTCAGGCGGGGAGGCGGGGGAGGCAGGCTGGAGGATGGCTTCCTTTGTGAAAGGCTTTCTTTAGAAAGGAAGGTTTTTCTGAATGCCCCGTTAGACGACCCAATCAGGTCCTGGCAGATGGATATCACAGGCACGCTGCTTATTCATGGCAAGCTGCAGCTTTTATCATTACCCCCTCCCCCACCCTTTTATTCATTTTAAGGCTAATTTGTTTTGTTAATGTTTTCTTGCCCTCCTCTTTTCTTTCCCCCCTACAGACTGTGAGTCATACTGCAAGGCGTCCAAAGGGAAACTGAAGATCAACATGAAAAAGTACTGTAAGAAAGACTATGGTGAGTTACACATTTTTGGGCTTAGCCGCATTTTTAAAGTGAGACGAATTTTTAAAAATATCTTTCCTGCAACATAATAAATGTCATTCTCATTACACACAATAGAAAGGGATGAGCCAGGAATGAGCTCTAGCGCGGCTGAATGCTGGAAATGTTCTTCCCAACACAGCCCCAGGTTGTGCAAATGAGGAGAGTGTTTGGGACATGGACCCCAGACATTTCCAGATGGACTTTGATGGGATTTATGTCAGGGAAGGAGCAGGGAGGTCAGAATTCCCCTGCTGCGTAGTGTCAGCTCTGCTGTAAACACTGGCTATTCCTTCCCCACATTTTGAGTATATCGTACTGTGCATTTCAGTCAATATTCTTCTATATTGTAGAGATCAATTCAGATTCCATAACATAAGGCCTTAATACAGTTTATGAAGCAGAGATGTACAGTAAGACTCCAACAACATTCAGTGACATTTAAATGTATGTGTGATGCATATTAGATATGGGCTCCCATGGGCCCCTGCCTAGCCCCGGCACAGCATTGTCTGCTATTCAGAAACTGTGGGGAACCCCACTCTGCCTCACTTTCTCATCTCCCATGACTTCTACTGAGCCCCATATGCCTGTTACCCAGAATCCTTTGGAGCCTCTCCTCCTTACCACCATAACTGCATTCTCTATCATGAGCAGTGGCTTTTTAAAAATTGGGTTTAAATGTGGTTTCCGTAGAGTAGCAACCCTGCTGCTTCATCATTTGAATGTGCATACTCCTCCAACTTCTACTTTTCCAGGCACAGTTTGGAAAACTCTCCAGAGCACTCAAGTTTTGTCTTATTTTTTTTTTCTCCATGTTAAAGGTTATAGGTAGGATTAATGGAGTAAAATAAACTGGGACACAAAGTAAGAAATACCCGTGATCTCTCCCTCTCTTGTGTTTTAAGAGAAGTCTGGGTCCTTCCTGCAGTAGAATGTGGTGACTACACACAAGGGTGACATCTAGATAGCAGCCAACAGTCAGATCATGTCTAATTGAAACCTTTCCCTCATTTACTTGGAAAGTTATTTTATTCCAAATGAGACAGCAGAATCTAATCAAACAATTTCAAATGCTGATTGATGTCTTTCATGCTTTTTCACTTCCAGAATGCTAATTTTCTCTGCTATTAGACTCACTTATTGGAATGACTAGATAAGTTAGTAAGAGGGATGGTAGTTTCTCGTGCTTTTTGGACTGAGCACTACAGACACTTCTCAAATCAATGGAGAAATGCCTGTTTACACCAGCACAGAATTTGGCCTGTTAGCTGCTGGCTGCAAATTCTGGGCGCTTATTTTGATTTTCTTTTCTTTTTTATTTAATGGTTATAAAATAAAGCCAATGAGTTCCTTAGCAAATTATTTGCCCCTAAAATGTAGGGATGGTTTTCTTTAGAGAAAGGGATGTGGTGGACAATCTGATCCCTCCATTGTACTTCGGTTAGAAATCTCAGGATTTTTTGTCTGCTCTGTTTATTATCTGATGACAAAGCACTATGATGCTGGAAGACCTTTCTGTGTGTCCTTTTCTGGATCTGTCTCCAAGAATCTTAAACTTTTTTGTTTTAAAAATGCATCTACATAAGATCCTGTCTTTCATATGCCTGAAAGGAAAGACAAGATTCTGATTTGGAGGTCTGATTAATTTCCCATGCTAATTTTACCAGTAAATTATGTGGAGTTAGTCCTGATTCATACCAGTGTACGAGAGAAATTTCACAGCTAAAGAGACTTTAAGGATAGAAGGGACCATTAGATCATTTAGCCTGGCATCCTGTATAAGCATTGTCCATAGCATTTCATCTAGTTATATCTGTAGAAAGCCTAATACCAATATTCTTTTAACCGTTAATGGTACTCTCATGCTTACATCTTCTTTTTTGTAAACATATCTATCTAGAAAGAAGCCTTTGATGCTCTGTGATTTAATGGCATTATCAATATTTTTTAATAACTTCTCTGGCAAGTCCCAGGCACAATTCACATTGACTGTCATCTTCAAAGCCTTCTGATCCTGATCCTCCTCTTAGTTACACTGGTAGCAGGATTTCCAAGAGTTCCCAGGATTATGCTAGTAGAAGGATTTTCAGAGAATTCAAGACTTTCTCTGGGTTTATATGATTCTAAAAGATTGTAAAAAATTCTAAAAAAAATTACTTGAGTCTTGGCTTTCCAGAAGATAAGCCTTCCTTCCTAAATGCTGCCAGTGTAGTTGAGGTCATTTCAGCTACTATAGATGTCACTAAACTTGAGATTGTTTCTACAGTTAGTTTTAAAGCATCCTATAGAATTTTACAGCCGGGATCTGGTTTTCTGGTTTTCTCTCCCTTTCCCTGATAAATTCGGGGAGAGGGAGAGCTAACATCAGCAGGACTCTGGTCTCTGGAGCTGTGAGAGCAGGGGCTTCAGCCAGAACTTGTACCAAACAACTGGTGAGCTTGGAGCTCATGCCATATCCACAGCTCCCAGCAGGAGCTACGCTGACATGCCAGTGAGCTCAGAGAGCTCATTACACATGTGGCACACAGTCAAGGGAGGGGTGGTGGTAATCGGACTACTACACCCGTGGATCCACCCTCAGATCCATCTCCACTCACTGGCTTTTGCCTCAAGGGGATGAAGTAAATGGTTTGGTGCAGCCTTCATTATGTAAAGGAGTGCAGATCCCCAACTGGTATAAGTCAGCCTAGCTCCACTGACCTCAAAAATACTAATTTATTTATGGCGAATGGTAATTGCTAAGGTCTTCTGTTTTTAAGTCATTTATTAGGTTCAGCGTATTACATGCTCCCAGAGTAGTAATGGGCATATTTGAAATCCATTTTATAAATTAATGTAGGATTAAGTAACTAAAAGATACTCTTTGACAGTACGCTATTTCTGTAAATGCTGTGGTTGTGTCACATGCACACCTATCTGAGTTTCCACAGGTGGCGAAAGGTATCCCCATCACTGTCTCTCCCTTGTCTTGCTCTTAGATATTATGGCCTAAGTCAGGGGTGGGCAAAATAGTGGATCCAGCAGGTGGCCAGACTCCATTTCCCAGTAACGCCTGCCTGCATCGCTGTAGTCAGTTTTCATGGAGACCCCGGCAGCAGCGGGGCTGTGACAGTGTGGGGCTGGTAGGGCATGCAGCTGGGTTGGGAGCTGCTGCGGGGCCAGGGCTGGCATCTTGCTGCACCGACAGTGTGGTCCAGTGCCAGGGCAAAGCTGTGGCATGATCCTGCTTGGGGTGTGCAGGCAGCAGATTGCAGCTCTGCCCCAGCTCCAGGCCACATTGTCACCGCCGCAAGATCCCAGCCCTGGAGCAGCTCCCACCCAGCCACATGCCCTGCCAGCACGGCTGGGGTCGGTCTCCATGGAAACTCCAGCCTCCTGCTGTCACAGCCCCGCGGTAGCTAGGGTCTCCATGGAAACTGGCCACAGTGTCGTGGGCAGGGGCTGCTGGGAAATGGAGTCTGCCATGGGCCCAATCCAGCCCACAGACCAGACTTTTCCTGCCCCTATCCTAAGCACTGCACTGATGCATAGATTTCAAGTGGCTGTTGTGTTAGTCCAGGGCCAGTTTTCAATGTGAGGCCTGGAGCAGGCCCAGATGAGCTCAACTGAATGCTGGAGGCCTCTGAAGGAAAATAAAAAAGCATCCTCTCTGTATCAAAGTTTCCAGCAGCAATGGCAGTGGCACCTCCTCCTCATTCCAAACGCAAAGTCACAACAGCAGGCACAGCACATCCTGGAAGTGTTTGCAAAGGCAGAACTAATTTCCATTTAACACTCCTTCACAACGTCTTTTTCATACAAGGGAATTCCTGGCAGTAGCTGTGTTCAGGGATGCTCTGGTTTGGCTTTGTGTTCTGACAGCTTCCAATGAATTCACACGAGCAAAGGCACATGGAGGGGCAGTGAAGTACTAAGAAGACCGTGTCCTTGTATATACACTCTCCGCCACTTCCATTCCCCTACCCCCGCTCACTCTTCGCTGCAAAATAAAACTCTACCCTGCATGTACAGAGTTAAACCCTGAATAATTTATAATAATTTTCTGTCAAGGAAGGAAGGGGGATGTGAACTTTGAAACAGAAGCAATCAGGATTTTCTCATCCAATCCCACAGCGTGGGGTTCAAATGTTTATTCTTGCTTTATGCCACATGGCAAATGTGTTCTGAAGTTTAAATGAGACATTGTCCCCTTTCTGCAACAATGAGCAGGCAGGGCTGGAATGCATTCACTACAGAATATTAAAGGAACATTGCCTTATATTCTGTTCCCACTTGGTTTAAAATACTATTGTAAATATAATGAAAGAAAAAATCCTTCATTGGTGTGACCTATTACTAACATTTATGATAATATGAGATGGGAAAAAAAAGGGATTTACTCTTCATCTCAATTGCTGCATGCTGTTCTTTTACATTTCGCTTGCAGCAAAGGTGGAGTATCACAATATCTGGGACTGTTTCAAGTGAAAACAAAGAAATCTTCATCTTCTGTTTACTGGCTTTTCTGAGCTATCATGAAATATAATTTTCTATCACTGTTAGGTTTTGTGAAACTTTTTTTTAACTTTTCAAAATGAGACCTGTTGCTTTTGCTTTACAAATGAAGGTATAATCGGGTACTGCACAGCATTCAAGAATCCATATGAATATCAGAAAACCTACATAAAAGCTACTTGTAATGAAGCAGCCCTGAAGAGATGTATAGGAGGAAAGGGGGCATTGGCAGCTTCAGTTTTCTTGTCTGTTTCATTAAGTTTCAGCATTTGCAATAAATAACTAAATGTAGGCAGAAATACTGGAAAATGGTCTCTCCGAGGCAGTTTTCTGCAGGGGTGAGGTTCAGGTCCTGGAAATATCTGATAACTGACTGAAAGGAGCTCACTTTGCATTGCAGGTGATGTTAAATAGAGGTGCTTCGCGCACTGCAGGATCCCAGCTGTAGTACTTGGCACAACAATCTGCTACATCCA